ACAGCCAACCCATGGCTTGTGTCACTAGAGCTTGAGCATCACAAAGCCCTGACTTATCAGCATCATTAAACTATGGTCTAAGGCATAAGGTCCCAAGGATTGGTATGATCATTCTAGATTTCAACCCGTTCATCCAAGGCTCCTGTTTCCTAAAGAACAATGCCCATGACTGAACATTGCTGGTAACTGGAGTTTCTGTCAGCCTGGTGGATCAGAGATCTTAGTAAACCTAAACCTACCATGCATTTGACTTGGATTATCTATCTCACTTGATCATCTTGTCAAGCATGTAAAGGCCAGTATTATCCCCACTGTACAAATAATTCAAGTGAAACTTAGAGAGATGAAATAATTTAGGAGCCTGGTGATGCTGCTAGATGAGTGTTGGAATGCTGACTGCAAGGTTGGTAGTTCAAATCCTCCATCTATCTGTTCCCATAATAGCCTCAGAAACCCTATATGGGGGTTAGTGACAGAGGAGTGACTCAAAATGCCATCAAATTGTTCTTATGTTCATAGACATGGTGCCAAACTGCACTTTGGCTGTAGCACAGAGAGCAGAAATAACCCCCCTGAAACGCAATGCCTTGAAGAAATGGCTAGTGCACTTGAAGTTGCTTTGGTCCATCTGACCTCAGGACCATCTGTGCTCTTATTCATAGGAAATGCCTATTTTGATCAATCTTGGGGCATTCCCCTTCTATCTCATTGTGTGTCTTTTTCATCTTTGCACCCCTCAGATAGAGCACAATGCCTGGCCCAGGATCAATACTCAGTGCACAACTGCTGAACTTAAAACCAACCATTTGATTTCATGATTGTGATAAATACTATTTCACTAACACCAAGAACCTCACTTATCCCACAAAGAGACAGAGAAACATGACCCTGCTAGACAAGGACGGACATGGAATAGGAACTTAGGAGATGCTTGGGGACTGGGCTTCCGAAGAAGAACCTGTGTCCTGCCTGCTTGGCTGTGCGCTAGACAAACCTGGATGGATCTGGTGTCCCCGTGAAGTAGTGAATGCAGGGTGAGCTTCTATTCTGAGGCAGGACGGACACAGTACTGGCTGTGGTGAGGAACGATTCTGAGTCTACACAGACTCCACTGGCTTTGTCACGTAAGATGTCAATCATAGTTTGTACAGTAATGCTTTCTGTAAAATAATAGAGATAAATACGAGATATAATAGTGGCTGGCTATTAACCAAAATCCATTCATTCCTAATGCTTTTTAAAAAAAGTAACACACACACACACACACACACACACACAAGCAAAACAAAACCCTTATTACCATTGAGTTGAATCTGATGCAGAGCAACCCAAAGATGTCAGACTAGAACTACTACTTTGGGTTTCCTAGGCTTTAAATCTTACCAAGAGCAGAAAGCCTCATCTTTCTCTCTGAGAGCGACAGGTGGATTCAAACTGTTGACCTTGCAGTTAGCAGCCCAATGAGTATCCCACTACACCACTACAGAACCCCTGAAATTATAGCTGGTAACCTTCCCGTCTAGCTCTAGGCTGTATTTCCCAGCTTCCCTTGTGGCTAGAGGTAACCCTGGAATAAGTTCTGACCAATGAAAAAGTGGACAGACATATATAATTCCTTCATCAGAGCTATACAAAAGAGTAATTGCCTTCATTTTGTTCTTTTCCACTGGATGACAGCTGTAAGTGAACCACACGTGGAAGCCATGTGGGAGGAGGCAGGGCAAGCCAAGCACACATCTGGACTGTAACGTGGCGGAGAACTAACCTGCCATTTCCTTTGAGCCACGCTATGTGGGGTCTTTCCCTCTAAGGTTTTCTGAGTTAACGGGCTTGGATCAGGAGCCAAGGGATTCATAACGTCTCTTAAATCTCTTTCAAGTTCTGCCTCTCATTTTGTTCTTTGCCTTTTATTTGTTGGAGAAATTGTATTTGTTGATGATTTTTCTGTAGAAAACAGTTGACTTTGCAGATGGCATCACCATGCTTTATATTTAATATGCTCCTCCGTACTGGCCAGCTCCAAAAAATGCTTTTGATGGAATTAAGAAGTAATGGAAATTTTCCACAAAGTTTCTTTCTTTCTTTTTCCCCCCAATTAATTGGGTTACTCATATCTACATTCTTTTTTTTTAAATCATTTTATTGGGAGCTCGTACAACTCTTCTCACAATCCATCCGTACATCCATTGTGTCAATCACATTTGTGTACATTTGTTGCCATCATCATTCTCAAAACATTTGCTTTCTACTTGAGCCCTTGGTATCAGCTCCTCATTTTCCCCCTCCCTCCCCCCTGCCCCCTCCCTCATGAACCCTTGATGATTTATAAATTATTATTATTCTGTCATATCTTACACTGTCCAATGACAAAGTTTCATAAGAGCCCTCCTGTTCCTATGAACTACAACGTGGTGCAAAGGCTTGGCCAGGTTTAGGTTAGGTTGTTCTGGCAAGACTACTTCATAGCAAGTCTTGTACACTTGAATCAAGCTAGCTTTACTCTTTAACAAAAAAGCTTTAAGATACTTTCAGCTTTGAGAATAGTTCGTAAAGTGCTCGTTTAAAATTTTGGTAGTTTTTTAATCTCCCTCTTTATAATGTGTTAAGTCCCATAGCAAAAATCCTGACACGTTTTTCTAATACTGGGAATCAGCAAACTTTTTCATAGAGTCAGATGAGCATTTTAGGATTTTGAACCATCTCCTGTCTGCTGCAAATTCTGTGTCGTCATTATGCAAATATTCCACTCTGTCTCGTATCACCAAAGCAACCATAAATGATGCATACAAGAACGAGTGGGGCTGTACTCGAATAAAATGCTATGGACAAAACCAGTAGATGCCAGAGGTGAGAGTTCGCCGATCTCTGTTCCAAATGACCAAATAGCTCACTTGTAATTTTTTGTTTCACTAGCAAATATCATTTTGATTATTTATAAGGATTTCACTCAGGCCTCAAATCAAGAGAGCTACCCAGTCACCACATTGACCTAAATATGGCTTCTGGTAAAGTCACTGCTATGTAAAAAATGGATGGCTCATGAAGAGAATTCCACCTAACAGTTCAACTCCACCAACACTCCGGGGACAAAGGACTCCACAGGCATCACAGGGAGATCCTGAGGTGAGTACGAGACACCCACCCTGCTCTCAAAGCGGAGCAAAGTGAGAGGACTGGATAAGCAGAAAATACAGGGTGAAGATAAACCAACTATACAAATATGGGACATGTGGAAGGCCGCAATAAGTATTCTAAGAGACAAACACTATACACCGTTTTTAAAGGAGAAATAATGCTGTTGGGAGCAAAAACCTTCCATGGTTGATAAAACATAGTGGAAAGTCAATGAAAGCTGTCTTCTTTCCTGGGGTGACTTTTAGCACACGTTGGGTCCTCGCACACAAGCCCTGTTCTCGAACCGTCTGCATGGCTCGCCCTCCTGTCTGCCATAGATGGAAGACAAAGGGTACGAGATGGAGAACCGTAAGGTAGATCCCAACTCACCTCCCTGGTTTTCCAAGCTGTTATTTCCTGCACAGCAGTCTCGATGGTCATCAGCCAGAGCAAAGACCTCAGAAAAATTGAACTCGTCCTCCCCCGTCCACCAGCCTCGACTCTGAGCATAGTTCCTGAGTTCAGGGTGCTCCGCGTCGATCTTCGTGGTGAGGGAAAGCTGATTGCAGATGGACTTCTCTCCCTCTGCAAAGAGGGCAAAGCCCAGCGAGTTTAAACACACTTGTAAGGAATTCCTCCAGACATAGCAACTACGGGGAGTTTTCCTCTTCCCCGCCGACACTAACCACTCGAAAGCCAAACTCACTGGCATGGAGCTGATTCCAATTCATAGCTACCCTACAGGACAGAGTTGAACGGCCCCTGTGGGTTTCTGGACTATAGCTCTTTGTGGGAGTAGAAAGCCTCATCTTTCTCCCTCGGAGCAGCTGGTGGTTTTGAACTGCCAACCTTGTAGTTAGCAAGTCTAATGAGTAACTCTCTACACCACCAGGGTTCCTGACTTTAACCACAGGAATCAATTCAACTGTTTAATAGAGAAACAAATGATCCTGTGTATTCTTTCTAGAAAACCTCCCAGAAGGTCTGGATTCGCATGACCTGGCATTATCATATTTTAAATGAGCAATCATCACTTTCCCGATCGTAAGTTCAGAATGAAAATGGAACATTCCAAGCTCTCCTGTCTAGCTACAGAAACGCTGACACCCCATCCCCAAGGGGCATGGTTCTTTGAAGGAGACACTGTGCTACGCAGAAGACCTATAAACGGAGCATCTATAGAAACCCTCTTCCCCGATTGTGGCTCTGCTTCACTTGGCGAAATTCTTCCTCTCATCACGCCCCATCCGCTCAAGGATCTCTGTAGTTCTGAAAATATGTACATGTGAAACCTCTTCATGCAACTTCTTTTCTGGTCCCCGAATTAAAACACACACACACACACACAGCAGAACTCATAATCCCTTTTACAATAAAAGGATATACCCTTTAGTGTGTGCGTGTGTGACATTTTTGTTAAAACATTAAAAAAAACAAACCCACCAAGCTGAATAATCTGAAGCAAAGAGGGCAGCATTCTGGGTCCATTCACTGCACCGGATAAGTGTTTGCTAGGAACTTCCCCATCAGTTAGCAGGCTTGAGCGGTCTGCTCAAAGGCTGGACTGAAAGTCCACACAGAGAGGGAGACTGGACTTTTCGGCTCAAAGGCACTGCCTAAACGCAAGCACCGCAGAGTTACCTGTTGTAGTCAAAAGGGCCCCTCAGAGCTGCTGCTCCTGGGGTCTGTTGGGCTTCCTTCCAGATGTTTGAGGAACACGCTGGAAAGAGAGCGCGCCCAAGCGAGAAGCTGCAATGAAGCTGCTCCTGCCGAACAGCCTGCAACTGGAGTCAGGGTGCTGGACAGAGTCTTTCCGGGCCCTTTGCTGCATGGGTTGGCACCCCCACATCTGCACCCTGCTGCCCACGGGACGTTGGTCTTTAGCCATTCATCTTTTCAAAGGGCAACGGGAAGGGTCACGTGATAATTTTTTTTGAAGTATAGCTTTAACCCTAAACGAATGACTTAGCTTTAACCCCAAAATAAGTGATTTTAACATGCATATGAAGCAACCGAGAAAATCATTTTTTAAAGTTAATTTTAAAAAGAAAATCTTGTGAACAACTCCATAGATGTTACTCTTTGCCCCCTAGAGTTGATGTATAGCCATTTGCTTTCAAGCTTCTTAGTATGGAAGGTTCAAAGTCACTACATCCTACCATAATCATACAGCTACTGAGACCAGGGCACTTGAAATCAATGAGGATGAGGAATGACTACAATAAAAACTTTTTAAAATTTAAATTTTTCTGTGAAAGATGGAATTGGTTTTGAGGAGTTTTTTAAAAAGCTGAATTTTGAAGAGAGACTCTGCATTTGAAATGTAGTCACAGATCAAAAGTTCTACTCAATACGGTGAGACTGCTTTGAAGCCCAGAATGACTAGGCCGCTCGTTGCAACCAAGAGGTTCTTCATCTCAGGAAGGGGTTTTATAAAGGAGTTTCAAGTTCTCCCATTTCAAGACATCTGGAGAGCTGGTGGCCCACAATGAGGCAGTGGTTTTCTACGCACTGTACCAGGTGGGCAAGCAGAGACACGCTCGGCACCGGGCATAGGCAGAGACCCCCTGGGATTTCTGACAAGGCACCACCAACCCTTCTGAATCATTTTGGGGATTAGAAGAAGCTGTTCATTCCTCTCGGCAGACACAATCTTTGCACAGATAGGCCAGGAAACAAGCTGGATTTCATAGACTGTCTGGTATTAAGTAAAGTGTGCTCAACCTTCACAGTTGTTCTTCCCTGGACTCACTTTGAATTGCTACACAACTACCACAATGAATCTGCTTTTAACTCGGGTCAGATTTGGTTCTGGTTACCCGAGGCAAGGTTTCATCCATCTCTAACATCAATCCTCATGAGTGGACATGCTTCCTGGAAAGCCCAGTGGAGAAAAATTCAGAGACTAAATATAGCCTCAGCAAGTGTGCTGTGGTCGACTAGCCATGTCTGCCGGGGCATAGGAAGAGAGAGAAGTGCAGACATCATGTGTTTGTCATCTGGTCCTGAGGGCCATGTGAGAGGTTTCACCAGCCAGTTGTCCCTTAGAATTCCCTCTTCCCTTTGTCATGAAGTCCCTTAAACACATTCCAGGATCCCATCCATTCCAAATGAAGATGCTGAGATGATGCTACAAGACTGCTTTGCCTTCACCCTAACACTTTCAGAGCCAGCATAGGAACAAGATAGTGTAGAGAGGCCACAGAGTAGGAATTCCATCCTCCTGGTCAACCACCTAGTCCTCTGCTCTTCCACTGTCTCACAGGGAAATGGCCCTGTTAGACCAGCAGGGTATTTTCAGTGGTCTATGCACAGATCCATGTTGCCTATCCTAGAGGGAGAACCCAAGCATAAGGCACAGCCCTTTGGAATTGATTTGTTGTCCTATTGTGAATGGAGAATCGCCACCCCACCCCCCTGGCCAAACAATAAAGCAACAACTTAGATCTTGAAACACCTGGGAGTCAAGATTGGGTCCTATCTGGAAAGCAAACTGAAACCATGAAATGTTAGGAGAGCCAATCCTAAGTGTCAACAGCTCTTTTGACTCCAGGTTCAAGGGACTCTAGGTTCTAATCTGGAAGCAGAGTCCAAGAATGAGAGGCACATCTAGGCATGAAAAGCCAGCCCAGAGAGGGTCCACAGCAGCAGCAGGACTGGACTAGGGCTAGGCCTGCACCCGCAAGCTGCATTCACACCCCGGCCTTTCCCCACCTCCAGAGCCTTCCGTCACCACTCATGCTTGCCCACCTGTGATTTTCTCCGCCGCCCAGTACTTCCCTACAGTCTCAAGCACCCAGGCTTCCTCACGATCCACAATCAGATATGCACTCTGGAAGCTCTGGCAGGAGTTTGCGTCTTCATAGTAATTTCCACCTTGTCCATGTTCTTCCAACAAGGAGACGATAACATCCAAGGCTTCTTTAGCTGTTGTCCCTCTTTCCAAACCAAGCCTGCAGGACGAAAACAAGATGTTCACCTCAGTCATTTCAAAGTATGTGATCATTTCCACAGTCGTGAACAATTGAGACAAGGCTAAGTTCTGAATCCTGGCAGCATTTGTAAATCTGTTAATACATAGACAAATACCAGAAATTGACAAAGCACATCGAAGGCAGAATTCATGCCCCACATACTCAGGTAACCATCAGCAATATTTTCTGTCTTTGGACAAAACCCCATCAGAGAGTCGGGGATCCAGTGGTGTCTCCCCCATGGAAAAGACCCCAGCCATCTCTTTCCTAGCTCTGTCTCCCATATAGATGCCCAGCTCTTAGTAGGCCCTCTTTCTGTGGCTCCTTTCTCCAGCCTATCCCAAAGCAAACACCCACCTAAACTAGCCTTGCCCTCTATTAGTCTACGCAGGTATGTTGTCTAGTGATACAGACTGGAGATCTCTCTAAGGATGGGTGGCTGCCCCGTTCTACACAGTCTTCTTCTTACTTAACGGCCTAACTCCGCTGGTAGAACTTGGGCAGGTTACATAAGAAACTTGAACTTCGGTTTTATGTCACCTATACAAAGAGTATCTGTATTAGTCTGGGTACTTTGGAGAAACAAATCCACAGCAACTCATGGATAAGAGAGAGTTTTATGTAAAGAAAATGTGCACATCATGAAAACATCCCAACCCAATGCTGCCCAAGCCCACAAGTCCAACATTAACCCATTAACCCAACACCAGTCCACAATGTCCCCCACCTCACAAAACAGAGGCAATGATGCCGACTGCAGGAGGAAAGCCGAGTCAGTGAACGAATAAGCATCTCAGCACTAGCAGGGGTCTCCACACGGCTGCTCCAGCACCCAGGGCTGCATCGGGATAGGCCCATGTGGCTTCTCCTTGGGGATGTCTTGTAGGAAGTCAATCTTGCAAGCTGAAGCAGGGAACTGCTAAGGCAGCTGCACCCTGGTGCGACCATCACAAAACAAGAGACCCGAGAACTAGAAAGGCGAGGCTCACCACCCATTTATCCCTCCACCTTTCAATTAGCCCCACATATGATTATCGGCCAGGTTGGCACAATTAACTAACTCAGTATCCCGCTGGTGAATCCCCTCTGACCACAGACCAGGCATGTGACCAGCCTTCCTATCATGGAGAAGGTATTGGAAAAGGAATTATTGCAGATGCAACGAGGTTAAAATTTATCTCCTTATCATTTGATCTCCCTCTTGATCCATTTTAAATTTGTTCTAGTTCTTCAATCTTTTCAACTGAGGGTTTCATTTGTTTGATTTTGTTGTTGGTGGTGGTGTTTCTTGTTTTGTTTTGTTTTTTAATGTTTTTCTGTATAAGAAATCCAGGAGAGGTAAAGCTAGAGGCAGGAACTGAATTAATGGTTCCTCGGGGGTGTGGCAGAGAAAGTTGGGGGGAAGTGGGGAACTAATAATGAAGAGTACAAGAATGAAGAAATGTCCTGAAACCGGTTGTGATCATGATTGCACACCTCTTCTAGATGTCACAGCACTAGTGAATTGTAGGATATTTGAATAATATGCCAATAAAACTATCTTTTTTAAAAAAGAAGTACCTCCATTACTGGGTTTTGATTAGATTGATTTTATGAATGATAAACATGAAGATATATAGTGTTACTCTCTGGGACCCAGTAGGTGATCACCAATTTGGGAGTGTAGCCTCCTGTGGCAGAGAAACATGCTTCAGTGGTCAGGGAACTTGACTTTGAGGTCTACTTCTAACTGGCAGTATGATCAAATGGCAGGATCATCTTAAGTAACGCACAGTTTTCAAATTGTAGCTGCCTTATCTATAAATGTAAAGCAATACCAACTCCTGGGTTGACATGAAAAAGCCTGATAGGTACTCCGTAAATATCCGTATGTTAATCTGTTCATTCAGATTATTACTCTAGTGGCAGGGACACAGGAGTCTTCGAACAGAGGCAATGAGCCTGCTCACCTAGCAACACAGCCAGTTCTCGTACATTTAAAATTCACAGCCACTCTGATGAATGTCCTGATGGGTGTTTCAGTGTGCTTCCAGGGAGACAGAAAACTAATGCAATGACATGTTACAAGCCCAATCTTGTAACAGGCTTCTTTCCAGAGGCAGAGGGTTACCTATCAACCCACTTGACATTTTTTCCATTTATGCATATTTACAAAGACTTGGGTATAAAGCAATGGTTTATGACGCTGGACCTTAAAACCTTAGGAGAGTGGTAACAGAAAGAACCCATTAGAAGCCTGGCTTACAAAGCATTTTCTACTGGCCAATGCCATCTTCTCTAAGAGGGGTAAAATCAGTTCCCATTGGCAACCTCAAATAGGTCAGGGTAGAACTGGGTTTCAAAGCATACTTAATGGGTCCATTTTTCATAACTAGATCACCTTTTGCTAAGATGCCTCTGGGTTGACTTGAACTTCTAACCTTTCTATTAACGGCCACCGCATTAGCTATCTGACCACCCAGCATTCCCCAGAGATGAGGAGCAGAAACAAAACCAGTTGCCCTTTTGTCCACCTCATTGCAACTCCACATAGATCAGAGTAGAACTGAGCATCAGATGGTTTCCAAAGACTGATTTTTCCAGAAGTAGAGCTCCAGGCCTCTCCTCCAAGCTACCTCAGGGGTGACTCCAACCTGCAATCTTTCAGTTAACGGTACATTAGAAGCTCTGCTCTGACCTGGAGGAACCAAGAGCAAACAAGTGTGCTGTGCCGTGAGCACCGTAAAACTGGGAGCTGTCGCACCCGGAAGTCCTCCTTCTCCTTTCCACAGGCTCCCTGGTGGGCCCACATTGCAGGCAGAATCCTGTTCCCAAGGCCCAACCTGTCCCGGCAAATATGTGCCCAACCCAAACCAACTCATTGCCACAGAGTCACTTCTGACTCATAGTGACCCCGTAGGGCAGAGTAGAACTGCCCCTGGAGGTTTCCAAGACTCTAATCTTTACAAGAGTAGAAAGCCTCATCTTTCCCCCATGGAGCAGCTGGTGGTTTTGATCTGCTGACCTTGTGGTTAATAGCCCCATGTGTAACCCACTATGCCACCAGGGCTCCAGGAGCATAGAAACGCCTGTTGTTGTCCTTAGTTGTTCTGGAGTCAACTCCAACGCATGGTGACCCCGTGTGTGCAGAGAAACAGCTTTCCAGGCTGAAATCCTTTCAGAAGAAGACCACCAGCCCATCTATCAGGTTGCCTGGGGGGTGGGTGGGGGGTGTGGCGTTGTTGTTCACACCACAAACTCTTAGGCTAGTGGACCAGCATCCAGCCATGTGTACCCTGGCTTCATCTGTGTGTAGTATTAAATAAAAAATAATAATAATGCAGAGGGAGGTGGGGTGCCAGCCCCCACCGCTAATACTACTATTACTCAACGGGTTCAGTAATGCACAATTGTACGGTTGAGATATATAAGTATTATATTAAAATCATCGAGAGCATGAGAGATAATACAATAATACAGTCAGGCATGATACATAGCAACATTGCTCACCTCAGCCCAGCTTGGTGGTTCACATGGAGAGAGGGGGAAGGGAAGGAGGGAAAGGGAACAAGGGAGAGGGGGAAGAGTCAGGGAGGTCAGAGTCTGAGAGAGAAGTCCGAAAGGTCCCGCCTATATTGCTGATCCATGCCTATATACCTTTTGGGGGCAAGCCAGCCCACTGATTACAGGTAGAGACATACGTCACAGGGAGGGGCTGCACTATAGGTTACACAACAACGAGAGGGTGGTCTCTGGGTCTCCATAGGAACCCTTATCAGTAGGGTGCAAACCCCTCCTACAGGAACCAAGCTAATGGTCCCAAGCTTCAGAGAGCAGTCCATTGTCTCCAGCAGCAGGGAGCAGGCCCACCCCTGTGGTGGGATGAGACAGCAGTCTGGCAGCAAGGATCTGACTTCCCCCCACATCTGTGGACACCTGCCAAGCAGCAAGAGCCCTGTCTTTAGAAGCTGCCCCTTCTTCTTTCTTAGTTTCTAACTTGATCTTTCTGCCTTTGCTTTCCCTGATGCTCTGCCTGCCCATAGCTCACGCTCAGGCTCCCAGTACCAGCGTGCTTCAAATAGCTCATGGAAAAATGGAACTGAAAGAGACCGGCATTTTCCCACAAACTTTGTGCAGCCCCCTCGTACTTGCACTGGCCTGTCACTGACTCCGATGTCCCTATGTGCACAGCTTCTGAGCAGACCCTCAGCACCCATTCAGGCACCATTCTGACTTCACCCTCTGAGCCCTCATGCCAGGACCACCGGTAAAGGGTATTCCATTTCCCACCTGATCTCCCTGCCAGGGGATGCGAACAGATCAACCCCTGCACCTATCCAAGGACCTGAATGGCACTAGCATGTCCATTGTCCATCTGAGACTGAGAGATGCGGGTACGTCACAAATCCCTGGGTACAGACACAGCTTCCAAGTGGATCATTCTGGTTGGAGCTCCTGTTGAGAACGGCCAGGTCCACTCCAGACACACTGAATCAGAATCTACATTTTAACACGACCCTCTGATGAGTCCTGCGCCTTAATAACATTCATCCATTGTGTCAAGCACATTTGTGCATATGTTGCCATCATCATTTTCAAAGCATGGGATCTACTGTTTTGATTGGACCTTTTTTGAAGCTGGAATGAAGACAAGGGAGTTACTAAGAGAACTTGTCTGCAGCCATCTACTGATCTGACACATGTTTAAACATGTTTTGTTCAGGATAAACTTATTCATGTATGAAATGGTACACTAGTACCAATGCTTTTGACTCACTGTCATAGGAAGTCTTCTGGCTTTTTGCTCACATTTAGGATTTGTTTGGTATGCATCTGTCTCTCCTCGACTAAACTGTTCACTGTCTGTGCCAAGCTGAGACCAGACATTGACCTCATGGAGATCCGATCAAGGTGGCCCCCGTACCCACCTGGAGGAATCTACCAGGTGCAGGGGCTTCTTCTAACCCCTTTTTTATGGCAATAGCTAGCCAGGAAAAGAGTTAAAATTAAAAGGCTAAGATGAAATCTTCACCCTCTCATCATTCTTGACATCTGTTATTGTCCCAGACTTTGCTAACAATCCCAGTACCAATTATGTTCCAAATATAGATTCTCCATCCACATCTTCCAGCTATGTAGATCCAGGTCAGATGCACCTCGGTTTCACAGCACTCTCAAATGTCCCCAGGCTGGGGAATCTCTCAATAGCCAGCACTGTTTGCCGAAGGACAGACCTGAAAAGGCATGCCATTCATGGGCTACAAGTCTCACATTGTCTAGAGATGCCTCTCTCCCATTGTTGTCCTGAACATTGCCTCCAAGTTTACATCAAAGGCTTTACTCTGGGGAGGTCTTATAAAATATAAAATTTAGTGGGGGGCACCACAGTCAATTAGCATAACATAGTCCACAACAACAACGTCCTACATCCTACTTTGGGGAGCAGTGACAGGTCTGAAAGCTTGTGTGTCACTATCCAAGATACAACTATTGGTCTGTCCCTGTCCCGAGGGAAAAAGAATGAAGAATATCAAACATGTATGGAAATGATTGGTTCAATGAACTAATGGACCATAGGAACACTAGTCTTCCTGACCCTGAGACCAGAAGAACTAGATGGTGCCTGGCTACCTCTACCAACTGCTGTGAAAGGAATCACAGGAGAAGGTCTCAGACAGAGTGGGAGAAAAATGTGGAACAAAATTCAAAATCACACACACAGAAAGACGAATCGAGACAGGTGGGACTCCCCAAGCTGATAGTCATCTTTCAGGTCTGAAAATGTGCCCTGCCCCCCACATACACACACCCGATAGTTCCATTTTCAGCCAAACAACAGACAAGCCAATGAGGGAGAATTTAAACTAGTGAGGTATGCACACCTTGGGATAAACCATTTGAAGTCAAAAGGGCAGCATTTACCCAAGAACAAAGTCCCAAGGGTTTAGAAAGAAAGAGGAATGTAAACTGCAAACACGTAAACACGGGGGTGGGGGGGTAGGGATGGGACACTGTGGGGACTGCCAGCAATGAGGCGAAACAAAATGTGTATGAATTGTGGAATATAAAACCGATCTGCTCTGTAACCTTTCACCCAATTCACAATAAAAAGTTAAAATACACACACACACACACACACACACACACACACACACACACGATTCGGGAAGATAAATCCTGTCCAGATCCTCAGCCTGTTTCAAAGAACCACTGTGTGCTTCAGCCTCCCTACCTGACCAGATCCATCCCCAGTAAGGCTTCCGTCTCGGCAGCAGGTTCTCTGGTGTTGACGGCTTCATTGGCTATGCACACTCCATGCTCGTTGGCTCCCATTTCTGCCCCCCACAGCCAGGCAGGCCTGCTGATCACAATGGCGTGGGTCCTCGGAACTTGGTCGATGGAGATGTAAGTGCACTGAAAAACGAAGACACAAAAGAAAAGGCCGTCAACCACCAGGTACCAAGTGTTCGCCTGAGTATTTTCATTCACCTCCTCATCACACCTAGAGCCAAACCACAAAGGGCCTTGTTGGAAACACACATTTAAAAGTCACCCTAAGTCCCAACGCCACCTGACAGTCTCCAGAGAGGGGTCCGGTCTGGGTACCAGCTCCATTTTCCATCTCTGTGGTTCAAGTTGTCCTAGCCATAGAGCTCGTGTGTATGGGAATCGTGTTCCCCAACCGGGTAGTCAGCTAACCCCGCCATTGTGCACACCTCTGTGCCCGGGCATCTCGAAGGCTATGGGTGGCCGCCAGCACTTCAAACCAATGCCACTCTTCACTCTCATTTGCAAAAATCTGCTACAGCAGTGGTTTTCCAACATTTTAAAAGTTATATAGTCTGATCTTTAAAAAGAAGCTTTATGAGGTGGGGAAGGGGGAGCCGACAGCAATGATGGATATATAACCCCCTTCAAGGGGGACAAACAGCAGAACTGTGGGTGAAGGGATACATCGGACAGCATAAGATATGTATGTATGTATATATATATATAAATATATATAATATATATATAATTTGTTAAGGGTTCACAAGGGTGGTAGGATGGGGAACGGAGAGGAGCCGCTATCAAAGAGCTCAAGTAGAAAGAAAATGCTTTGAAAATGATGATGGCAGCATCTGTCCAAGTTCCCTTGATATAATTGATGTATGGATCGTTATAATAGCCGTAAGAGCCCCCAATAAAATGGTCAATTAAAAAAAAGAAGAAGCAGAAGCAGCTTTCTTCAGAAGAAGCCTAACGTTGAAAGCACATGAAAGTGAAGATGTTTTTGTCTGGGAAAGGGGAGGGGGAGGGACCCTGAGAACCACAAGGCTTTCTGCCCCTGTAAAGATTAGCAGTCTGGGAAACTCAAAAGGTCATCCTCATGAGTTGCAATGGGTACGATGGCAGGGAGAGGCTCCCAGCAAGGGTCCCTAGGGTTCCCTAACACAGGACAACCTCCAGCCTCCCTGCGTGAGCTAACAGCTAGAAAATGACAGTAACCCTTTCCGTTCACTACCGCCGGACTGCTGTACAGCACTGCCTGGCTGCCCCGTCTGATTCCCACCAGGAGGAAGCAGTCCCAGGGAGATGGATTTCTGGGCGCTGTCTGCCTGGCAGTACCCTTCACTCACGGTGTGTGTCTCACCATTTGTAGGGTGCGGGTTTTAACCTGGAAGACGGAAGAGCGAATCTGGCTCACATTATTTCTCTGCAAGTATTTTTAGCCTCTGAATCCTTTAGACACACAGAATCTCGCACAACCACACAACACAACAAAACAGGCAGAGGGGGTGCTGGCGAGGCTGGGGTGCGGGAATCCACACAGAGCCTAACCCGCTGCCTGGTCCTCCTTTCCTCCTCCCCCACTGTGGCCCATGCGAGACTCCCCAGAGCACGCAGAAAACCACGACACTCATTATCTGCAAGGGACCGCTCTGCTCTGCCATTCTATATAGACTCTTTGTGTAGAGGTTGCAGTATGGAAATCAGGGCTGCAAATTATACAGAGCCCCTAAGCTCTCCTGGGAGAATTCTCTGCACCCAGCAGCAGCCATTTACATTTTAAATGGCGCAGCTGAAAGCCCTGATCAACTGCAGTTTTAAACCTTTCTTTGGTTCAACACCCAGCCACAATGACTGAATGCAAACCAGAGCGCTACTGTGCATTGATCCCCCTAAGCCTTAGAGCTCAAGTCAGAGCTGAGATGGGCTCTGCGTGCACCTGGGTGACTCCCCCATCTCTGCGCCCCACGCCTGGCGCTGTTCTTCATCAGGGGTAGTGTTTGCCAAAGGAAAGCTCCTGAAGCTCAGGCCGGCAAAAGTGCCTGGACTTTGAAATGGCAAATTGATAGGAAAATATACGTGTTAAGTATTTCCCCACATTCGACGCCCAAGTTAGTTACTTAAAAAGATTCTTCTAGATGGTCCATAACATTGGGCTGCAGGCTTAAAATTTCCTAATAAATGCCAGGGACCTTAAAAGAGTTCTTGGGAAAATCCCATTATCTTTTCTTCCCATTTTTCCACAAGCGTTTGGAAGTCTCTTTGTATGTGACTTTAGAAGAATAAACTCTTATTTTGACTATGACATTTGACTAAGAAATGGACATTTTCAGGTGATTTTTTTCATGCGAAGTAATGAAAACAGTACTTGTCTGTATCAGTAGCAGGCTGTTTGCAAAAGCTGTTTTCTAAACGCCATGACAATGAAAACAGAAATCAGTTCATATCTTAAGATTTAGAATAAAGTCAGTGTGATTTTTTTTTAAAAGAAATCTTTTGAAGCAAAAAGGTAGCAGAGCCAAACCGGTAACCCTTTAAGCCCCGGGCCTCTGTGTTCTAAATGTCACTGAGGTTTGTCTCTCAAGCTGCGTTCTTGGCGAGAAGTGGTCCAGGCATGAAGCACCCACTTCCCACCCACGGGTGCCTATGAGGCAGCAGGGGCACAGCCTGCCTTGAAACAAAGACTAAATAGGGAAGGAATCCCGGTTTCTTAAATACAGATAGATTAGAACATTGAAAAAAGCAGGAAAGAGAAGAAAAAGGAAGTTAATAAGAAAATGGGCTTGTTTTCCATTTAATTTTTGCACATCAGTGTCAAAGACACTCTTTGCAGAGCGCCAATGACAAGCAAGACATTTTATTTTCCATCGCCTTATGGACATGTGGAAGCTGGACAATGAGTAAGGCAGACCAAAGAAGAACGGACGATGCCTTTGACTCGCGGTGTGGGTGAAGAATGCTCAGTGTACCACGGACTGCAGAAGAACAAACCACTTTGTCTAGGAAGAACAGCCAGAATGCGCCGCAGACTCCAGGGCAGGGAGACCGCGTCTCACGGACTTTGGACATGTTGCCAGGAGAGACCCGTGCCTGGAAAAGGGCATCTTGGCTGGTCGAGGGTCAATGAAAACATGAAGAGCCTCAGGGAGAGAGACTGACATGGGGGCGTCAACAAGGGGCTCGAATGTCGCAGCAACAGGGTGGATGGCTCAGGACCAGGCAATGCTTCCTCCTGCTGTGCACAGGATTGATGACATTGAGCCGATGCAACTGCACCTAAACCACAACGTTTGGAATGAGGTGCGGAGAGGCAGACAAACCCATGGGGATGCCCGTCCCTGTGCCTGCAGGCTGGACGGTAGAAGACACACAGGCACGTTCCTATAACCACAGGCGCACTCCAAGAAGTGCCAGCCGTGAGGTCAGGCCACTGGGTCCCTACAGCCTCTTGCCCCCTCTTCCCAACTAGAACTTCTCATCATGCTCTTCCTGCTCTGCCCGTCCTTTCCCCATTCCGGTCAGCCCCGTGGAAGATGCTGCACAGCTGACCCGTTTCTGCATGGGGCTTACGCACGCTGTCTCCCCGGGCCAGAAGGAAGCTCCGCTTGGGCAGGGAGCTTGGCTGTTTACTTCAGCTATGAAGGGGTTTCCAACAGTTCCAGGAAAAGTGGAATTGAACGATAATGAAATTCCCCCATAGGTTTTTTTGAAGCCCCCTCGTATATTCCAAAGGAGGAAGATGAAGCTTTCAGGCCCGGTCAGGAGTTACAGGCTCGGAGGCCCACAGGGACAGTTCCCACAGCTGCCCTCTCTTAGAGGGTGGTTC